TCTATCCCTGTGAGAGTGATAGAAGAGAAGGCAAAACGAATTCCTGAAGACAGCCCCCTTATTTTGGGACAGCAGGAACAGCGGATCCGCTAATTCATCAACAATCGCCTATTTATTGCAGTGCTGGCTGCTCCCTAACACTCTGACCTACCATGTACCGCACGTTGATTATTCGTTTCTCAGCCTGCAATCCCCTCGTGAAAACGCCTTTAATATTTTTGGGCCGCGCGCGTCAGTAAAGGCTTTACGCGTACTCGGTGCAGAAGCACACGCTGAATGGCTGTGTGATCACTCGCCTGTACTCGGCTTGGCCTGTTGCGGTGCTCGTGGTCACGTGCTTTTTTCGCCCAAGGCCATGACTCCATTCTGGTTCCCATCTGCGTAATAGTGACAGTGTGGGCAAACACTGCGTTACCGGTCGCTTGCACGCCGTTACCGTCTTCGGGCAGACGGGCTGTGTAGAAAACAATCTAAACGTTTTTTGTTTTGTTTCGTGAGTCCGTAAAACGGAACGGATGTTAAAAAACTGTATCACATTTTCTACCTAAATATCGATCGATATAACAGTTTTGATGTGTTAAAAATTGCAATGTCACTGTCGGTAATCCCAAGGCAATAAAACAACCTCTTAGCGCAACACAAACCATTGTCCAGCATTTAAGGAAACTTACAGTGAAACCTCCCATGTAAAATCACGGAACACAAGCGGCCTAGGTTAGAGAAACCCAATGTGAAATGTTGACCACTCCGCGAGAAAAATGCCAGAAATGTAACACCAAGACTACTGCAGAGGTGTGAAGGACTTGCGTGAAGATACACTATCCCTTTAAAATCACGCGAGAATTTTAACCACTGGCCCTATGGAAAACTTAATTTCTTACCTTATGCCATGGATATTTCGGATAGCAAAACTGATGTCCTTTCGGAGTTCCTCGTCAGCCTCGTGTCTGAGCTTTAACAGAAAAAAAAGAGGTAAGACATTCACCTAGGTCGCCACTTTAAATTTAAAAGAGCATTCACTTCGGACGGAGGCTGCAACACCCCAAATGCGCGCCCTTGCAATCCTACGACGGCATTAGGGCGGCACAACGTGTACCCAACGCTTTAAAACTAGCAGTCGGGGCTGTGGGGGAGGGGTAAAACGGCTGATTGATGCCAAAACCTGCGAAGGAGTGTATGTTTGTGTGCGCTCGGCCATTCACTTGAGTATAATTTCGTGCGCGGAAAAAGGTTAACGCTACGATAATACGCGAGTTAATTGGAAGTACTTCGCTTGCACTTGAGTTTCAGCACGCAGTTTACTTTTGCCGACTGGCGTAGAAAATTCAATAAATTGGAACGCTGTACCTTCTAATTGCCTCGGAAACTAATACACGAACTTGGGGTACATCCTTCGGAATAAAGTTGTTCAGACTTGGTCTGGATTTTGATAGGGATGTTTAATTATTAGGAGGGTTTGGCAGATTTGAATAATTCGGCTAAAAGCCATCATCTACCGCGGAATAACTGTGTAATAGTCGCAAACTGTCCACAGGCAGTCAGTTGTATGCAAATACTAAATAATTTGCCATAATACCAGCAGAGGTAGGCGCGCTAAAGGACGGAAAAAAATTCAAGTCGATACTGAAAGCAGAAGCGACCGCTATCAGTTTGAGGAAGCCGACGTTGTGCGCACAAAAGATACTCCTACAAGCTCCGCGTCTTGCGTGGCCTACAGTCACTTAGCGGCATGCACTCGTCTACGCTCTGTTTGTATCCCTCCTTCCCTAGATTGGCTTCATCGAACCGTGCCCTCTTAACCAGCCTGCCCTTATCAACACCTCCCCCCTTCACCCACGACTCACTTCTACGAAAAACGAACACGCTTTAACTTATATCCCGTTCCAATTTAAATGTACTGGCTTGACGAGAATTAATCGAAAGCTTACCTACTTTCGCTCGCCAAATACTCTTCTGATACTGAAACTGTCATTTTATACAACAAAGGTTGTCATGTGTCCATTCTCCCACGGAGAGCTGCTCGACACAGGCAAAGCCTCTCCGATAAACCGACGTGCCCATGCGTGGCGTATTACAAAGCGGCCTACAGCGAGGTCTGATGAACCCCACAGGTCTAACAAATAGGCAGTCGCGGACCATGTAGCACTAACACGTCCCAGGTGGCTGGGTGGCAGACTGGCAAATCAGTTGCCTCTAAAAGGCTAGCAGGCACAGGCTGGAAGCCTTGTCTTGCGTGCCGGAGGGCGGCAGAATAAGTTTTCCATCGAAGCCCCAAACCCCAGGAAACCATCTCCCTCACCAAGCCTTCATACATAATCCTTGTCCCGTAGTTTAACCCGACAAAGGCAGCCAATAGCCTGCGCACCCTGGCTGGGCTTGACGAGGGTAAATGGTGCCGGGAGAACAAACTGTGTACCGGAGAAAGCAAAGCTTGCCGGAAAGCGTATCACAATGGGGTTCCAAAAAATTGTAAACTAAACGAGCATATCGTCCAACGGAATGGAATCTCATAACAAGAACTACCTCTTATAACCTGCCAAGACCTGTTTTGAATCTGTTTACTTTGCTCTTCGAGGCTGTCTAGAGTTGTAGTATTTTAGTTGACCCTTTCAACTAGAGCAAAATACGCCTGTGACGAGAGTTCGAAATATATTTTGGGACAAGTCTACAAGGTAGGTGCTCGTTGAAAAGAAGACGAATGTGAGGACCCTAACTTAAGACCGGACTTGAAGGTTAACATTTAGGCCTGTTTCAGGGGATAAGATCAAGGAGGTTCTAACCGAAGTTTCAGTTAGCTGAGTGAGTAGGGTTCGCTTATATGGTCCCCGCCAGCAGGACACTGGAATAATAACGCATTCCCCCCGCAGTCGTGCGCTAAACTTCAGGAAGGGTAAATATTCCCGTCAAAAAAGATCAGGAAACTTTTGAGGTTGCGAAGAATTGAATTAAAATATTTGATTAAAACCCCTGACAAGATAAAAATCGCTAAAATTAAATAAAAGGAACCACTTTTCACTTATTAATGCCACAATTTTACGGTAGTCAGTCTCAATACCATCAAAGATTGAAATCTGAAGATGTAAAAACGTTCTGTGGGAAGGCGAATCCGCAAAGTTTACAAAAGGCGCCTGAGGGTGCTACTGTTCGTTCATTACCGAAGCCCAGTAAAGTGCAACCT